TTAAAAATCAAATTAATTTTAGAGAAACATTTTTATTATCTGCGTCTATTTTTGATTGTGAAGAGCTGAACTAGCTAAATAAGTTCTGGCTGAAAGGGTTCTCCTTTTGCAGATGTGATTAATTTGTTTTCCTCCCACTTGCATAGTTGATCGCAATACTAAGCAGAGATACCAGTGCCTTTATGGCCACTAAGAAGCTCCAAATGATGTCACAGTTCAATGTGGTTACTGTGGCAAGGAGAATCAGGTCGAGTCCTCTGAAAAAAAAATGCAGGGGAGACTTTCCTCAAATTGGTGTTCCTACATTTGGGAACTTCCACACGTTTCTTAGAAGAGCTTGCAGTGACATCTGAAGGCCATGCAGTAGAAAACCAGGGATCTGAAAATTCCTTTATTTTCCTCTCTGGTAATGTTTTCCTCATGAGGTAGAGGAGCTATGTAAACATATTTTAGGATGGCAGAAGTTGTAACCCTAATTAGTTAATGGGATGCTATACAAGTGCTAGGAAATGGGGAGAGACTAGGAGAAGGCTATCTTTATAGTTCCAGCATGGAAGAACACTCAGGAAACCACAAGTTGACTAGCAATTTGAGTGCTGCTCTGGAGGCAAGCAGGCTGGGAGCATTTGCTGTGAGCATCATTCTGTTCCATGTGCTTTTTGATGGAACATCCAGAATTGCATAATCCATAGGGAGCTGCCTGCCCATAGGTCCTTGTTCTTTGACAGATCTGTCACACTTCTCAGAAATCAAGATGCAAAATCCATCACTCAGGGACATGGTATATGTGTATCAGATACTCTCTGGGGGATGAAGAGTCCATTAAACAGCAAGTCCCTAAACTCATCCATATGAAGAATTCACATCTGTGACAGATAGAATATGGAGAGTACCCATCGTCTAACAGGTGATCTGAGTCAAATGTGCTACCAAAGCATTATAAATATTCATTTTATTTCAGTCTCTCAGAGACCTCTGTGGGTGATCCCAGAGGGATAGGAACTGCTTATGCAGAACCTGAGTGGGAGCAGCAAGATCATGGTGTATGAGGGGGATCATGGGAAGCAATGGCACTCCCAGCACTGGCAGTTTGAGGCAAGCATATCATTGCCTGCATGATGTAGGGCTGAAGATCTGACCTTCACAGTGAAGCTTATGGTAGAGTTCTGTGAACTTTGCTACATAGCAGAAGAGTGAATGAAGTCATATGTACAACAGCTAGTGAATCTGTAGGAAATGAAGGCACAACAGATTTATTGCTCAGTAAAGGAGGTAGCCAAAATGTGGAAATCGATGGCATTGAGACAAGAGTAATCAGCTGGGTGAAGTCACGGAGAATTCTCTGTTATGAGAATTTTCTCTCTTCACTCACTGGGGAGAATGTGAGTGATTCACTTACTTCAGCCTGTCAAATTAAAATGGCAGGCATTCTAATATACCTTCTCCATTTCTCATCATGACTCCATTTGTAGATTCTTAATAAATTTGACTACTAGATTCTTGACTTCTTTGACTACAAAGGCTGTTGGTTCACAAAAAGTGAAATTTCCATTGAAACCAGATTTTATAATTAAACAAGAGTTCAAGTACTGGGTTCATGGTTTGGTGTAGAATTCTCATCCAGGCTCAAGTCTGAAATTCCTGAAAACTTAAAGAAGTTTTATGAAGAAACTCTCAAGCATCTTGACTGTGCTGAAATTTTGGCTTTAGATTATAACCAGATGAAAAACATGTAGAGGTTCAATTTACATCCAGATTGAGGGGCATTTCAGATTTTTCAGATTTATATTCTGGCCTACTTACACATTTTTTTTTTAATTTTTTTTCCCCTAACTAATTTCTGCTGTCTGTTTTGAGTGTTGTGGGTGCTGCTGCTGTATTTCAGCAATTCTGAGATTTCTGGTGTTGGTTTCAAGGTATGAGGTATGCACTGACTCTTACACAGCCACCTTCTGCACTGGCAGGTGCCACAGTGCAGTCACACTCCTGCTGACCCTCTCTGAGAATCCAGCAGATGCTCTCTGGCAGCAGTGGGTCCTGACTTTGCACACAGCCATTCCTTGGCTGTCTCTGTCTGCCATGAGTGGAGGCAGCACTGAGAAAAGCAGAGCTGGCTGGCGCCCCTGGCAACATAATTCCATACTCTGTTGAGACTTGCTTCTGTAGAGTGTCAGTGAGTGTTTGACTGGACTTACTGGGAGAAGAGCACTATGTGGATTTAGGCTTGGAATACTGCTTAACTTTCCTGAGCTTTGCTGAAAAGGTACCTCTGTGTCCATCCCCCAGACATCACCATCCTCAGACTCATGGGACAAAGGTAAACTCTATGTTAGTAAACTTTCTTCAAAAGTGCTGCACAGATAGATAAGTCTATTGAACAGCAGTAGCCATTGGAAAGTCATTTTGAAAAGTAATTTTAAAAAGTCTGCCATGTAAGAATGCATTACTGAGGTCGTCTGTGGGTACCCTCTTTCATGCTGCATCTGCTGGGTTGCACAATCCAGCCATAATATTACAGTGATGCCTTAAGCTTTTGTAGGTATTTATCTCCTCTTTACCTCTTACTCCTGTTTTCCATGGTCCTTTGACCTCCCTTCAGCTCATCTGTTTGGTTTCCTTTGTTCCACCAGAGTGGAGAAAATAAATCCATTGGATTTTTTTCTCTCAAGTCATGTCGCAAGCTTCAGTCTTTACTTTTGAGGAAGTCAGTATTTCAGTTCTCTGTGGTAAGGGTGGCAGATACCAGAGGACCCCCTACCATCCCTCAACTGTGCAGGAGGCAGGACTGGATGAATCTGCACCTTGGAATGGAGACCCCTGAACAAGGGCAGGTCGGAAAACCCACAGGATGCAGCAAGTCCCTTTGCACAGGTAGCAGCTCATTTTTGAAAGCAGTACATTCATGTTTGCTCACTGTTATCCCTCAGCTGATGAACTTGGCTTAGTAACAGAAGTCAAAATCTTGTGGATGCAGAGAGAAGGGCTTTCTCATTCTGTAGAAAAAGATCCACCCTTTTTCTTCCAATGATGTTGCAGAGTATCCTCACTCTCCACTCTAAGTACCAGCAGCACATCTTCAGCAAACACTGTAAAAAGCCAACCACTGTAGATTTAAATTATGCTCCCCACCTGACATAACCCTGACCAGACCCTATCAAACCCTGTACCTGGAGGCACCGAACCTCCTGTTTGAGCAGAGGGTGGTAGAGAAAATGACCCATCCCTGAGAGAAACGATTCCTGCCTGGCAGGGTGCTGAGAAGCTGCGGCGGTACAGCGCACCGACAGCTGCGGGGCTGGGGGATGTCCTGCTTGCCTTTGCCACGGGACACTGTGTTATGCTGACATGTGACACTAGATGGTGCATTCGCCAAATGATTGGAAAAGATGGCTCATCCCGGTGCCCAAACCTTTTGGGGTGAGGCTGATGGTGACTGTCCCATCTGCTGTGTAATCACAGTACGCCCCTCTCACAACTTTTCACACAAGTGACCCTGCTATGCCAGAGACAAATTCTGTGCTTCCACGGCTGCCAAGGTGGCATTTTGAGACTTTGGCGCTTACACATGTAGGTTTGGGGGATTTTTTGTCTGGTCACATATTAAGCTAACAAGTCAATTAGAAACAATCAAACTTTAATGTCATATTGACTTCAAGGGATGCTTGGGGTTGGATAGAGGACGTATGTTATCCCACTCTTTGCCTTAGTTGTCTGGTTTAGGTCTGCATCCTTCTGATGCTTACTACATACTAAATGTCTGACCATGTATTTTAATATTTTTAGGGTAGGGTCTTAGACCTTGCTTACAAGGAATAAATTATACTGAATTAACTACAGTGATTTAAAAACTGATTTAGTTAAATCAATGCAACTCTCCTGAGCACTTTATACCACTTCAGTTTAAGTCATGAGTCAGTGAATAACAAATCAATTCTGTTGGCAGAGAGTAAGAAAGATTAGACTGGATTTTCAGCCCTTCTATCTCAGTATTTATTAGGCTGAGGCCTCTTCAGGGCTTGTTGCTGTTCTCTTTAATTTTCTCTGCCTAATGGACCTGATCCAGCTCATGACGGCATAAATGAGGGGTTTTCTATGACCTCCAGCTGGGAGCTGGAGATGGCAATATCTTTATTAGAAACCTAGAGAGGCTTAGAATGGCAAATAACTCAAGCCTGTCTTCTCCTTGCTGCATGCTGAGTTCTCAGATTGTGGCTCATATTGCAGAAGTTGCATCTGCAATGACAAATCTATTATTCTACATTCAGGGCTGCAAAACATATCCTCTGAAGACTGGAATTGTCTACTAACATTGTGCTAGGAATATGCTAAGAGTCATAATCTGATTTGATTTTCTCAACAATAGCTGATAACTTATATTTTGAGGCTCTCATTTTGAGCTAACAAAATTATTCTTTTCAGGAATTTCCACAAATTCTGTGCATTCTGGTTGGATATACTCAGGACTCAGGTTATTCCTGGTTTTGTAGCAACTTAACCAGAAACTAGACTGATGTTTCACTTAAGTGAAAAAAACCACAGCTTTTTCAAAATGTGTTTCAGAAAGTCTTGCTTTCTTTTGTTGTCGTTCTCTTTCTGTTTCTTCACACTTCTACAAACTATCAATAATAAGAAGGATATCTGAGAATAAGCTTAAGAATGTGCTGAGTTGTACTCACTGAAAATTTTTGTTCCCAAATTATTGTTCCCAAATCTTGTTACTCTTGTCTGTAGAGAGCAGCAGTTGAACTCTTGGACTGTCTGCCTATTCTAGGAAGAGTAATTCAGTTGTTTACAAACCTAAGATTTTGGTTTAGTGCAAAGTAATCTTTCTCGTTCTGAACTGGATGTTGATAGAGCTGTAAACTCTGTAACCAGCAGTGTCCTGGTATATTCTTAAAATTCACCTGCACTTCTGGGAAATCTTCGTATTTCAATTAGTGATGCCACTTTCTACTTCCATCTCTATGCCCATTGTGATTTCTTGTGTTTTTTACAGGTTTATAATGGAACTTACCTCTTTGCCTAAATTCCTTTGGACAAGTGACAACAAGCTTCTGCATCACCATTTTCCAGACATACTGGCTACTGTTCATACCACACAGGATATCCCTGAAGAAGTTGTCTTTGGACCATGCATGCTCCAGAACACCCTGCTGGACACTGTAGCTTTCATTGCTCTCAAGTGTTCTGAGAGACGGAACATCCACTATGTATTTAAGGTATGAGGAAAATATGAGTGTTTAATGTTAGACCCTTCAAAAAGAGTTACACCATCCCTGAGGAGGTAACTTTGCAAGGGGTAGGTTTTTGTTTTGTTCAGCACAAGTAACAGCTCCTTCAAAGACAATGGGCCAGTGCATTTCTGATTTATGAGCTGTAGACTGGAAGGACCTGAGGAAAACTGTTTCCTTTTCAGGAAGAATACATAGTCCCACTTCTATGCTGATGATTGATGACCTGCTTAATTTCTGACTTGGAATAGGAGGGAAGAGGGACAAATACTTTAGTAACCTCTAGTTCAGGTTTTGTCAGGACAAAGGAGGTTTATCAGGAGGTATGACAGCCCTGTGAGAACAGAGGAAGAATACTGGCATTGCACTGATTCATGCAGGTGGTACATTCACAGCATTTATTTACAGATCTAGGCAACTGCTAGTGTGTTCAGTTATCCTTAAAAGTGCAACCACCGTGGCAGTCAGGCTACTAGCCCAGACACACCTTGGGCAGCCACAGCTTAACTGCTGTTAGTACATAGACCTCCCAAAGTTACCTTAGATCTGTATGTCTGTGTTACAGCTACACTTTGCAATCATTGTAGGGAAGGAAGAAACCCTGGGGTTGTAATGGACTGTTAACTCTCAAGCTCTAGTTCCCCAAATGTTTTTATTACATAGCCACTGTTTGTCATGCCGACCACTTACCCCAGCTTTCTGGGTCTTGGAGTGTCTTTCAGTCACTGTTGGTCTAGATGAAGACAGAGTGGTGTCTTACAGTGTGATGAAGGCAAATTTCCCACATTCTGTGGCATGGATGGATCTTGAGAGATGCAGGCTTGCCTAAGATTTCTGTGCTCTGGAGGAGAGAAATCCCAAGGCATATTTGTTATATGATAGAGACAGTTGTTGGGAGATAACCTGTTCTTCACTTCTGCTTTAAACAATTTAAGAGAGAGAAGAGGCTTTATCTGACTGTTTTGAGTCTCTGGCACAAGTTTGCTCTCTTGGACAGTGTTATGAGTACTCAAAGAGACCAACAAACTCTTTGTAGAGGAACCTGCCCTGAAATGAGACTTTATTTTTGGGATATTTCTGTATTTCTCCTGGGAGTTTTGAATTACTGTAGAGAGAGCCTGAAAGGTTTTATGCATTGGAAGAGCCCTCTAGAGGGATGGCTTTAGTGTTTTTCTACACTTGAGCTAAGTAATTGCTATGCAGCAATGAAACTGGATGCCTGAGTTGGCTCAGATCTCTGTCTTCTGGCAATGAATACATGAAATTCTGTGCAAGTAGCTGTTTCAGATGCAATCGGTAGTCCCATATCCTGTTAACTACTCCTAATTAAAAGTAAACCTTCCAGAAATCAGGAACTGCCATTAGGCTCCTAACTCTGTGTAGTAATTAATTAAAAATTCAATCATGATGCTATGTTGTCATCACAGCACTGAAGTGCAAAACAGAAACAGGTTTTGCTCTGCTGGGTATAGTACAAACAGAATACACACAGGAATGATTTGGCATGATTTGGATTCATTGCAACTGAGGTTTCTGTTCATCCTAGTTCATCAGCACTCCTGCAAGACTTTGGGGAATAATATTTCTAACAAGGATCTCATCATCTTGGGCTTTTTTGTTTAGACCAGAGGGGGACTTCATAGTTATTTTCTCCCCCTCATTTTCTTGGAGACCTTAATTTGAGCTCATTAGCCCAATTTGTACACTTGGGCAAAGAAGATGCCTTGGCAGCCATTGGCACGGGTAGTTCTTTCCAGCTGATTCCTCTGCCCCTTCCCTCTTCTTGGGGGTTTCAAGGAAGTGCTTTATTTTTTCTCTTCACTTCTCTTCCAGTGTTTCCCAAAGGAGCCACATTCCTCCACAGCTATTACTGAGATGCTGGGCTGTGAAGGCCTTACCTCATATATGGGTGCAAAGGATCCATCTGGTGGACTGACATCTCCCAGAGAGGGCAGATTTGCTGGGTTTATAGTGTCTCTAAACAGATGGAAGAACTAAAACTGGTTCATGCTTCTAGTTGGCAGCACCCAGATGTTATCTTATATCTGGTACTCCTCCTCACCTACTTGAAGCTCACTGAGCTCTTTTCCCAGAGTCCTGATTCCTGGTGCAGCTGTGCTCCCTTTGACTTTGCTTAGAGCACCCGGTGGCTGCTTGGTATTTCTGAAACACAGCAACTAAAATATGACAGCCTCTGTCATAGCTATTAGTTATAGCCACTGTGTGTGGGTGGGTGTTCTTGTGTTCCTGTCAGACACTTGTATTTCTCAATCATTGTTAATTACTGTGGCATTTAGAGAGAACCAGTTTCAGGGCATGCTAATTTATTTTCTCTCTTACACTAAGTAACTCTTATCCTAATGGTCTCTTAATGTTTCATTCTTGTATCCAAGCTACTAATGTGATCAAACTTTTCACTGTAGGTAATAGTCAGTTAAAACCAGAGAAATAATTAGCCAAAGTATTGTTTCTGGTACCAAACACCAATGAATGGCTGCCCTGCAATTAGTGGAAAACAAAGAGATACACATTGCTTGGGGTGAAATTTAGATTATACTTGTCATTAGACATTTTTCATTTGCAAACTTCTTCCTTTCTAAACAATGACTTAGTGCTTCACAAATTAGGTTTTTGCATATAAATGTTGCCCTTGATCACCCTGCATTTTAGCCTTCAAGCTATGAAAACTTTTCCCATCTTTCAAATATTGCAGAGGGCACAGATCTGCTATGGTAAACACCAAGGAAAAACCTATAAAGAAATAAATCATTCTCTATTCAGTGTAATAAAGTAAGATTGGAGTCACACACTGAGTGAGGAAGACAATGCCAAATGTTTTGTACTTACATTATTTCATTGTCAACCTGTGACTAAATGACTCAGTGGGGTAAAAATGATATGTGATTTAGGACTATGCTGTAATATACACACAACGGAAATTTAATTTGAGCAATAGACTTAATATTATTTTTTAAAATTTTTAGTGCCTGACCTAACAACCTGAGAAATGTTTTTAAACTTCATTTGTTTCATATATCTGCATGCACACAAATTGAAGTTAAATCAACCCTTGCAACTCTCAGAAATTATTTAACAAAAATATTGATCTGATGAGGTTTATCTGTTTAGCTACTTTGAAATTAATTTAATTAAACTAGCAAAGGTAAAAAAGGAATATATAATTTCATTTCTGAAAAAGGAAAGAGATCATATAAGTGCTTCTTAGTTGTATATATTAAAATCTGTATTTTATGTAATCTAGCCAAATAGATAGGCAGATTTTTACTTGGGGTATTGAATCAAATAACCATGAATTTTCTTACACCCCCTGATCCATACCCTCCTATATCAGTGGAAAAACTCCACATGTGACTGTCCTGAGTGTTTGTTTGTTCCCAATTCCACACTGTGCTGATCCAGGGGTCTGCACATCTCTCAGTCCCCAAGTGACAGCACTTACACATCTCCTGACTCATATCCCAAGGATTGAGACCCCTTTTTAGAGAGGGTCACACCTCGTGTACCTCAGATCCACACCTGGCACAGTCCCATGGGATGGTCCACACAGGTCAGGGCTAGAGACTGACTAACATAGCCTGTCTTCGCCATGGGAGGTTCCACATGAACATTGGGGTCTCCCTCCCTCCCTCCCTCCCTCCCTCTTGTATTCCCAGAGCTCTCAGCCCCCACACTGGGGAAGCCTTCTCCCTTTGGATTTGGTGGCACTGGCAGATGTATTGGGCCCACAGCTTTGTCATATGTGCTCAGTGCGAGGCAGAAAATAGGCTTGGTTCTTGGATTGGATGAAAATCTTCCTTTGGGCCTCCAGACCTGTAACTTCCCTTCTTTTTCTCCTGTCTCACAGGTGGATGTTACATCTGTGCACAGTCCCACAGGACTGCCTTGGATGAGACTTGTACAAGCAGCTGCCAATAGCAAGGAGCAGAACTTGGAAGCTTACTTAGAAAACAGTCAGTTATACTATCGCCCCACCAGGAAAATCAGTAAAAATGAGGAACTGCTTGTCTGGTATGATGAGGAGCTTTCCAGCCTCTTGGGTTTCAATGAGATAAAAGCTCAGAGTCCCCAGAATGGTAAGCACCAAATTGCTGACTGCAGGGGTCACTGAGGACAGAAGTGAGCCTGCATCTTCTTTAGTGTGTGGTTGTCTTGTAATAATACAAACCCATGTCTAAATCTTTAGCTGGCCTGCTAAGAGAAGAGACCTTCTGCTTTGAGGTTTGAGCTGGAGGCACAGAGGAAGAAACAATTTTCTGTTCTTTATGCCATTCTCGTTGTTACTTTCTAGCAGAGGATGGTGCACTACAGACTCATGCTGCAATTTTTGAGCTTTGCAATGTAAATCTATGCACTTCGATAACTTGGAATCCTAGAAGTCTAGAGTATCAGTTGGAAATAGGCCTTTTTTAGATCATTGAGAAATCAGGTATAGGCTAGTGTTCAGCTTTAGTCTTGTAAATGAGCAGATCTTTAAAAATACATAACAAACTTAAGTACTGCATATATCACAGTCTGCCTATTTAGTATGGGACGCAGTGGAAATGAGGAAAATAGCAAGCTTTAATTTCTGAGATGTTGCTGGAAATTCATTGCTCCAAAAGAAATTGACCTGGAAGTCATTACAAAACTAAAAATCCAGATCACAGAGACAAGCAAGTCAGTCAGGTCCATACCAAGTTTGACTCCAGCTGTCATTTGCTCCAAATTTTACCTAGTTAGACTGGAATACAAACCTCTCTGCACTCCCTTCAGTTGATTTAAACAAAACCTATATAGATTAGTTGGTAAGGGTATAGGTTGGTAAAGATATGCGTTAGCATATCTTTACCAACCTATACCTTTACTAACATACAAATTCATATGGTAATGTGCTTGTCTGTAAATTAGTATTAAATTAATACAAACACATTCATAGCAGGAACTGACTAAATCATTCCAGCTGGTTTCAGAGTATTCTGTTAGTTTCTGTGTAGAAACACACTGCCAGCACTTTGGATTTACCAAGGAAGAGTGTTACTTGCACAAGAAACACCATATCTAGACTCAAGACTTTAATCTCTTAAAGGTATAATGTTCCACCCATTTCAGCAGCCTTATTTTCTTATAAAAACTCAGCTTCTGTAGTTCATAAAGTGATCTAAGCTGTGCTGAGTCCCAAGTTAGGGATTTTTAGTTCTACCTAACCAGTTTATGGACTTTCCTATGTATCCCAGGCCTCAGGTGCTGTCTGGTATCACTTGCATTTTAAAACTGCTGTGTTGTGAAATAAAATAGCATAGTTTACAAAGGTTAAGATGTATCAGATTTGTGTTGATTGCTGAATTTTGTATCATCTGTTCATGGGCAATCAAGCATCCCAGTGAGCCAGAGGTGCAGTAGGTCTGAAGACCACAAGGAAAGAGTGTTCCTTATTTGTCTTGCCCATCATTGGCATTGTTTCAATTTGAACATCATTTTCTGTGCCACAGACATGTGTGCCTTAAGGCATATAACAGCTTGCCAAATGAGCACGAGTAAGGGCTTCAGGCATTAAGTCAGATCATTTTTGAACAATATTAAATTTCCAGAGTATCCTAAAAATAGAGGGTCATGAAAAAATCTTTGAATCCTGGTCTAAAACTCACTCATTATTGCTTGGATATATAGTATTTAATGTTCATCCTGCATTAAATCCAGTGACTTAGTTAAGAAATGAAGACCAAAATCTGGGTTTAGACTTCAAATCATTATAAAGTCTAAATGGTTTTATCTAGATCATGGTGTACTGGCCAATTTATGTACTTTCATGTAATATAATTACATTTTATGTAATAAAATCTAGGCTTGAGAGTTTAAATGGAATAATTTCTGCCAGTAGCACGGAAGCATGGAAGCAAATAAGACTGAATCATTTTGCATAGCAGGAAGGGACCTGATTCTGCACTGGCATTCATTTTACCATGTGTAACAAGGTTTTGTGTGACACAAAAGGTGTTTCTGGCTTTTTGTGTCCATGACAGGATCTGGATCTACATGATTCCACCTTTGCAAAACTCATCACTTGTTGTCTGTTTCTGCAGAGTTGAGATGCCAAGAATGCAGCCGAGTCTTTAAATGTGAGCATTCCTATCTGTCCCATGTCCGCTTCCTCTGTGTCCCAGAGAAGAGAGCTCTGCTGTGGAGAAACTTCCAGAACCCTAAAACTGAAAAGAGCAACTTGGCTGAGCAGACCACAAATTTCCACAGTCTGGCAAGGGACTTGGAAGTCAAAATGGCAGCTTGTAAAGGTGATGCACATGGTCTTACTGGAGAAAGGAGAGCAAAACCTGAAGAGGCTGAGAACAACAGGAGCAGGAAAACAGTGCTGCTGGAGAAAACAAATAATTTGACTGAGGAACGTAACTGTGGGGGCAAGGAAGAGGTTGGGGGAGAGCATGCATTGACTGGTTCTTTCTGGAAGCTTAGTTCAGGGAGGCAGTCAGCTAGGAAGGATGCTTTAGAGCAGAAGCAGAGTGCCTTCACTGAGGTCAGGAGGATGAAAGAGAAGCTGAGGAGTGAGAGGCTGCAGGAGCCAGAGCAGGAGGATGTCATGGTCCCACTTGCTAAAGAGCAGGTATCAAAGGAAGTGTTGCTGAACTCCTCTGGTAGTGCATTCTCCTTTGTTTGGCCCACCAGAGCTCGAGGAGAACAGAAGAGTGCTTTCAGCAAACCCAGTAAGTGTGTAACAGAAAGAGCTGCAGTAAATTCTTCTCATCCCATGAGTGAGTCAGCAAAGAGCCTGGGGGAGCTGTCTGGCTTCATTGCCACTGCAGACATCATGTGCTGCAGCACTCTTCTCAATTCCAAGTTCTTTGTCAGTGATTTGTGTAATGCTCAGATGCTGCAGACAAGCATCACTCGGAGCAATGTTTTCCCATATACCTCAGAACCGTGGCCCAAGCAAGCAGGAGGACAGTTACAAAACACCACCACCACTTCCTCCTCCTCCTCCTCCTCTTCCTTGACTCTTCTTCCCCCCACCTTCACATCCTTTGGAGTGGCTGCCCAGAACTGGTGTGCCAAATGCAACCTGTCCTTTCGCATGACATCTGATTTAGTCTTCCACATGCGGTCACATCACAAAAAAGAATACTCCTCAAGTGAATCCCAGTGCAAGAGGAGACGAGAGGAGAAGCTGACATGTCCCATTTGCCATGAGTACTTCCGAGAACGCCATCATTTATCCCGGCACATGACTTCTCATAATTAGAGCTGTGCAGACAGATGTCACCAAGGGACTGGGCAGGTTGGATGAAGAAGGGAATGATAGTTCACTTAAATCCATTTCTTTTTGAGTTTACATTAATTTCTTTCAGGAAATCACTGTTTACAATAATTTATAATGCTTTGCAAAAAAAATGTAAAATGTTTACAAGAGTCTGAGTGGGTTTTAAGTTTTGAAAACTCAACCTAGCCCCTGTCAACCTATTTTTGAGGAAATAAAATAGTGAAATGAATCCACATGCAGTGTTAATTTGCAGAGTAGGGAACAAAGTTATAGATTTGCAAACAGAATTGTCTTCGCTTATACTTGTTTTGCTGGTGTCTGTGCAGTACAATATAAATACAGAAATAACAACCACCTCATTGAATAAGGAACCTTTAAGCATTAGAAACATCAGAGCTTATACGCTAAAAGAAAATAAGTTGCTATTTCTAGCAGCATTGGTGGACTCTTACCCCTTTATGCTAGCTGAATCAGCTTTCTTACCAAATTTTTGAGTTAAGAACTGACATCTTACCATCTCCTTTGAAAGGGACCTGAATTTAAGACTGAAATCTGTGATTGTTAACAACTGGCTGGCATGCTGCCAAAGAAGATGGCGCTTGTAAAGCAGAATATCCAAGTTCTGTTCTAGGCTCTGCTGCTTTTGAAATATCTTTTACACAGTGAAATCAGTGTGGGTCTGTATCAAAATGTGAGCTGTTGTCAACCTTATTGTCTAGGTAGGAAGAAAATATTCTAAGATCTGTGTGACTTCAGTAGGCATACAGATCTGATGGGAGTAGAGTTTAGCCTGTGGTTTTCAGGTTTTGGATATACCAGAGGAAGCAGTTAGGGTATCTGAGTTATGATTAGCTACTGATTGACAGAATCCGCACACTTTAATTGTGGATGATAGGCTCTGTACTGATAACTGCTAGAAGAGAAACAGAATGATACAGGCGTACATGAATTTCACTGCTTTAGACCAGCTTTATCCTCTGGTTTCTACATGGCCCAATTCCAACTTTTCAAAAAAGAAAGTGGCATGTTCTTTCTCTTGCCTGTCCATGAGACATTTTTCTCTTGTCTACTTTGTTTTGAGCTTTTCTGAGTCTCAGCAGCAGCAGATAAATTCATACTGCTCAGGGTGGGAGGAAACACTGTCTATTGTTACTGCAGCCCATCTAATTAGTCTTCCATTACTTCTTAAATCCATTTAGGGACTTGATTTTGATAGTTTATGACACTGTGTTCTTCAAGCAATCATTCCTCCTGGTCTTGTATAGTGTTTTTTCAGGTTGTCTGATGTTTTTGTGGCCTGTCTCTGAACCTCACCTGCCTCATCAAGGGCTATTATTCCCTTTCAGACAGACAATGATCAGAAACCACTCGTTTCACAGCTGAGGGTAAAGGACGTTTCAATATGCTCTTTATGTTCCGCCATACTGGATGATATACTCCAGTGGTTTTTGAATACTGGACAGAATTTTGAGTTACCATGACAATGCCTAGCCTCATAATGCAAATATCAGCAAGTAAACATGTCTGAATGGTGAAAGAGAGACTGAGACTCTTAGGCTTTCAGCTGCAACCAACACAACACACTGCCACCTCTTGGGAGATTTCTGTAAGTCAGGAGATTGTATTCTTTCCAATATGTTCTGCTGAACATTAATACATGGCTGTTTCCTATTAATATAAACATTTTTCTTATTGCAGGCCAACCACTGGCTGTGCACTCCAGCTTTATTTTTGAAACATAAAGTGATAAAACTGTTACATTATGCCTTTGCGTTCAGGAGACAGTTCTGGTTGGATTGTAACACAGTTTTTCAAGGTCAGCGGTAGAAGCTCTTTCACTTGAATCATTAAAAACCAAAATGAACAAAGGCTTTGAAACATGGAGCACAGGGAACAACCTTGCATTGAGTAGGGGATGGTGTGGTTTCCTTGTAATCCTTCCATCTCTATGTTTTGTCCAATAACATTTACTGTGTAAGGAATATATTTATGGCAAAGTTTAATGGGCCAAATTTCACTCCACCTGGGTGCCAGCCAGTTTACTGTGAAGTCAGTGTCCATAAAGTGTAATGAAGGACTCTGTGGTGTAACTGCATTCATATGTGGTCAGGGTTATATTTCCCATTAGTAGTTAAGGCCAGATTGTGATCTCATTTATTCCAGTGCAAATCCAGAATAATTCCATGTTTCTACTCCTGATTTATATTAATTACTTTAAGATCAGCCTGGCCCAGTATAAATAAGACTAAGGATTTTTTGGTACCGTTACTGCAAAATGTTCTCTTCTGAACTTTTTTCTGTTACTGAAAGATGCCGTGTTTTCTTAACAGTTTTATGATTAGAAACCTAGCTTCAGATTTCTTCTGGAAAAAGACAGGACTAACTGCATAATGCTCCCCAGAATTATTTTGGCATATCACTTCAACATTACCCCGCTCCAAATGCCTGTTTTTCCAGTGCACTACACCTGGTGTATAATTTAGATTGGAATGAAGCAGTACCAAATCTTACTGGTTACATGGTCTCACTGATTTTGTGTTGGACAAAGTGTAGAAAATCAACCACTGAAAAACAGATGCTAAGTCTCAAAACTCTTCAAATGGTGTTTTAGACCTACAGCCTGAGAGTTCTCATCAGTAATCCAACTCCCTCACTCTGCTTATGGTATGAGGCTTAAGCAGGCAGCAAGGTTACAGGGAGAGATAGCTTCCCTTTACGTCATGGAGTTGTTTTCTCTGGGAAAAAAGAAAAGGCAAGAACTCATACCCAGTTTCCTTGTGGACATATCTCAGCCACAGCAATTTATATACTGTGATGCCAAGCAATGTAGGAATGCCTTCTGTGCACAGAGAAAGGGAGTTATGAGGAGAAGCAGTTACAAAAACTGGCAGAACTGATTCAAATTGCAAAAATGAGGAGAGATTTTTAATAAGCTTTATTTCTGGTACTTTCCTCACCTCCTCCAGCTCAGGGGCACTGTGGTCCTGGTCTATAAAGACTGAGAATTTCCCTCTTGCAACATGGAAATCACACTGCAGGCAGTGTGTGCAATGCTGTCCTTGTTTTCTTTGTAGGTGGCCATCAGCATAAAGATTGCATTAACAAATTGCTTATTATTCTGAGGTAAAGGGGTTTGTGAACTAAGATTTATTTAGACACACAGCAAACCATACAGCCAAACAATATGACATCTTGTTGCCTGCTGCATCTGAGCTGGTATTGGTGCAAAACCACACAAATGCCAACACAACCAGAACTTGATTCCCTATGTGTAAAACCAGCTCTTGTGTAAAGCTCCTTGTGCAGGCACAGTGAAAGTCTTTTATGTGTCTCAGATTTAACTGTCTCATCTAAACTGGGTTACATAAACCAGGGGGCTTATCCAAAATTTTTGCAGATTTTATTTCTTTAAATGAAAATATTCATATTAAAGCTAAGTGAACCAAATATTGAACAGGCAGAAGGAAGCCTAACGAGACAAAGAAAAACAAACTTCCTATAATTGAGTCATGCTGGAAGCTTATTTCCCCTTATGTCTAGAAGTCTGAAAATTTAAATTGGTGCAGATGAAATCCTGCTGGAAGAAAAGCACTCCACTGGAACCAGGGGTTCGTGAAGAAATGAAGGACTGCATTCTGTCCCTGTGAAACACTGTGATTTTATAACAGGCATCTCTGTCTTTTCTACATGTAGAAATGCTAGAGAAGGGGGAAAAATAAATTTGCTTTTAAAAGAAGAGGCGACAATTTGCAGTGAGCCGACTGGTTCTTTTCCTGTCTTTGCGAGCAACTAACTGTTCATTTTGATCAAACAACTGTTTCTCATGACATGTGTTTCTGGATCAGTGGAAAAGGACACAACACAGTGCTGTCAAGCTTAGCTGTGCAGGCTGTGTTTCTGCAATGGATAATGAGTTTACCAATAGGAATTGCCAGATTATGATATTTGCTCAGTCACTGATTGATCATTGATCCCTGAATTTTTTCTGATGAAGATGTGTTTTTCCATCAAAATGACACTCAGATGTGCTTTTGAGAAATATATGTTTACTTGTTTTTTATGGGGTTATTTTTTACTAATCAAGGCAGTCTGTACAGGGCACAGTTTGGAAATCACTGAACTAAGGCTGCACAAAAGAAATAAAAGCTGGCTGTCATTTCTTGGTTAGAGTTCTATGAATGCTGGAAGGAGAAAGATGAAACTGCTAGGTAGTTTAGGTAGTCTTTTAAAAAGAGCATGATTAGGATTAAAATCCAGGAAGTTATTCTAGGTGGGATGATAAGAAAATGGTGCTATAAACTGTAGAATGTCCATGTCAGCTCTGGAACCAGATGAGAGGAGGGTGGCAGTTCCATCGTGTTTCCTGTTGTATTCTGGAAGGGCACTTGTCAAATTGCTTATCCCTCCCTAAAAACCTTCTTTCTTATTTAAACCACAAAAAATGGACTTTCCAAAACTAATCTGCATTTGTACTTTTGTGATTTTCAGGCCTTTCAATGCAGTGTAATTTTCTACACAATTACTGACTGTAGTTCTGTGAGGTCTAAACTCATTTAGTTGAGCACAACTATGACATAGCAGTTTGTGTAGACAGGAAAAATTGCTTTTAACACACTGGCCTTTGTTAAGCCTGGCAATTTCAATATTAATTAGCCAGTACTGTGAAAGAGCAAATAATATTTTGTCATGTAATAAAATTTCTCAAGGTTGCATAATAGTTTTCCACGAAACCAATGACTTTAGTGAATTTGCAGCATTATTGATTTAAAATGGACTCACCAGCAATTGCATCTTCATAGTTTGTTTTTCCAAATGGATTGAAATTTCTAGGCATATTTATTATATATACGTATTTCTCATATTACTCTGGGAAGAATTTCTTTGCTATTTGTGCCCATATAGTGTAGCTTTTTGTCCTTGAATGGATGGCTAAAGTTTCTAAATATTTGGCTTAACAATTAACATTGTTTGTACATGACAGCACAACTGATTGTTTTTAGGAAAACAAAGCAGTTTATCTGGATCATTGAGATATTAAAGAGGCTTAAAAGACATTAGAAGAAATACATTAGTGTTTTCTCATTCATTGACTACTCCATTTTTTTTTCACATTAAGAATATTTAATATTCTTCATGCATATGTCA